TGTCGCTGAGGAGAAGAATAGCCAGAGTCTCAACGGCAGAGAAAGAGAGACGGGAAGAAGACTGATGAAGACGCCGGGTGCTGCTTAGAAGCTTCTGGCGGCAGGCGCCGTGCTGCATAACTGCATGCAATGGAAGGCAGATTTTTTCGGGTTAACCGACCTATGACGACACTTTTGGCTGGAGTCGCCGGGAAAGGAGCTCCTCGGAGGTTCGAGGTTGACTACTGCAGCACCTTCCATGTCGCCAGCGACCAGTGACAACACGCCCTGCGCCTGCAATTGACTTAGTACGGGCAAGCATCATTACGCATACGTTATGTCCAGGGCAGCTGTCCCGCCAGTTCCATTAGGTCGCTCCTTTTTTCGTCGCCATTAAGGTACATTACACCTTGATTTTCTCATCCTGATCTCAAACCAAAAAAGCTTCTACTCTTCCACGATTCTCCCTTGTCTGTCTACTGTTGCTTTACCTGACTCCACGATCGACCCTCCCACAGAGCTGTCGTGCTCCCTTCGCTCGTTTCGACATGACATCTCCTTGTTGAATCATCAGGACATCCATTCCGCTCGAAATCACGATAATCAATAAATGCCTCCAACCACCTCGGCGCTGATGCGCCTGACCCGCGCAAGCCGGCAGACAGCATCACCAGCGAGTCTGCTCAAGGCCGTGCCGCCATGCAGACAGCCGCTCGCGGCGCTGCCGCAAAGGCGCGCCTTCACTAATGTCCCCCAACGATCTCGAACCCGAACACCCCTTACGAACTTCTTCAACGCTCACGGTCTGCCAAAGAGTACTCTCGTCCGCGCCGCCTCTAGTTCTACCACGTCCACGACCACTACCTCTAAACCGAAATCCCGGCTTTTATGGCTTGCCTACCGCGGCGCGGCATGGCTCGGCGGCGGCATCATCTTCGTCGGTCTCGGCATTGTTGGCTTCTTCATCTACGACGCTTCTACCTACAAGGAACACCCAGACCAGTTCGAGATCCACGTCTCGGAGCTCGCGCTGAACCCTAGACGCGGCGGGCCCAAGAACCTGCCTATTGCTGATGTACTTATCGACGACCTGGACACCGAGGGCATGAAGAGCACCAAGGACAAGCCGAAGCTGGTTATTCTGGGCGGCGGCTGGGGTGGCGTTGCCATGCTCAAAGAGCTTAACCCAGACGACTATCACGTAACTGTAATCTCGCCAACGAACTACTTCCTGTTCACGCCTATGCTGCCGTCTGCTACTGTTGGAACCCTGGAACTGCGGTCTCTGGTTGAACCTGTCCGCCGAATTCTCGCTCGCGTGAACGGCCACTTCATTCGTGCTTGCGCAGAGGACGTCGAGTTTTCGCACAAGCTGATTGAGTGTTCGGACACTGACGAAGCTGGCAACACGAGACGCTTCTATGTTCCCTACGATAAGCTGGTCATTGCTGTTGGATCAACTACGAACCCCCACGGTGTAAAGGGACTCGAGAATGCGCACTTCCTCAAGGACATCAGCGACGCCCGTAAGGTCCGGAACCAGGTCATGCTCAACCTCGAGAAGGCCTGCCTACCTACGACTTCCGATGACGAGCGCAAGCGTCTCCTTTCCTTCGTTGTCAGTGGAGGCGGCCCTACCGGTGTTGAATTCGCAGCCGAACTCTTCGACATGCTCAACGAGGACCTTACCCAGCACTTCCCGAAGCTCCTTCGCAACGAAATCTCCGTCCACTTGATCCAAAGCCGTAGCCACATCCTCAACACCTACGATGAAACGGTTTCGAAGTATGCCGAAGAGCACTTTGCCCGCGACCAGGTCGATGTGCTCACCAACTCGCGCGTCAAGGAGGTTCTCCCCGACAAGATCATCTTCACCCAGAAGCAGCCCGACGGTTCTCTCGTCACCAAGGAGCTTCCAATGGGCTTCTGCCTCTGGTCGACAGGTGTCGCCCAGACCGACCTCTGCAAGCGCCTGTCCGCGAAGCTCGGCCCGTCACAGACGAACCGTCATGCTCTGGAGACTGACACTCATCTCCGTCTCAATGGAACACCCTTGGGCGATGTCTACGCCATAGGCGACTGCTCAACCGTTCAGAACAATGTCGCCGACCATATCATGACCTTCCTTCGTGGCCTTGCTTTCAAGCGTGGCAAAGATCCCGAGACCCTCGAGCTCCACTTCACCGACTGGCGCGATGTTGCCAACGACGTTCGGAGGCGCTTCCCCCAGGCCGTCGGCCATCTCAAGCGCCTTGACAAGCTCTTTGAACAGTTCGACAAGGATCAGTCTGGCACCCTTAACTTTGGCGAGCTTAGAGAGCTCCTGAAGCAGATCGACTCAAAACTCACCTCGCTCCCCGCAACGGCGCAGCGCGCGCATCAGCAGGGACAGTACCTTGCCCACAAATTCAACAAGATGGCTCGCACCTCGGAAGGCCTGAGGGCGAACCAGGTTTTCGACGGTGATATCGACGCAGTGGTTTACAGAGCATTTGAATACCGCCACTTGGGAAGCTTGGCGTACATTGGTAACTCGGCCGTCTTTGATTGGGGACAGGGCTGGAGCTTTGCTGGTGGACTGTGGGCGGTTTACATGTGGCGATCTGTCTACTTTGCTCAGAGCGTCAGCCTGAGGACGCGTATTTTGCTTGCCATGGACTGGGCCAAGCGTGGTCTCTTTGGAAGAGGTAAGTTCTCTCACGTTCCCCTACTGATTGGTCCTTTACTAACACTCAATAGATTTAATGACCTACTAAAATAAAGCCACGAGTGTTGTATGATTTTCTTTTGTGTTAGCATACCCTGGGGAGTACGAGGGCATAAGATGCATCCCCAAGTGATGCCGAATCATGGGGATAAAAGAGTTAGAAAGGGGCGTAGACGGTCTCTGAAATCCATTTTGTCGTAAAGATCCAACCTCTGCCTGGCCAATTAAGTGAAAGTGAATGCCCGACGCTTTTGTATTACCACTTTTATGATGCCTTCTATTGTATATACCCCCTTTAAATCTTGAAATCCTTGTATGACCACTTTTCTGTGACCTTCGACCTGGCCTGCTTCTTGAACGGAAGATGTCTCCGCACCTCAACCTTGCCACGCAGCAACATGCTACGGTACCTATCCTTCAACAGATTTCCTTCGGGCTTCAGCAACCGCAGCGAATCCTGCAGCTCGTCCGGCAACACCAGCTCCAGGTCCTTCTCCGGCAGCTTGTACTTGCCGAGCTGCCGTCTCCTCAGCGGGCCGTCGTCGTCGATGTCCTCGTAGTCGTCGTCCGCGTCGCTGCCCTCGCCCACCTCGCGCGCGAGCTCCATCGCGCTCTTGGCCGCGTCCCGCTCGGCGAGCTCCGTGGCGATCTGCTTGATGTGCTCCGCCTGCGCGGCCTTCTTCTTCATCGCGAGCTGGTGCTTCGCCTCGCGCTCGGCCTCCTTGCGGCGCTTGATGCGGTTGCGCTGCTGCGGCGTCTTGCGCTGCGGGCGCTTCTGCGACGGCTTGTCGTCGTCGTTCTCGACGCCCGACTCGAACCCCTCCCACGCCGAGTCCTCGTCCCACTCGGACAGCTGCGCGCGGCGGTCCGCGGCGTCGGCCTCGGCGGCGGAGCGCGCGATGGCCTCGCGCTTGAGGCGCTCAGCCTCCTCGGCGGCGAGGCGGGCTTCTTCGGCGGCGACGGCCTTCGCGGACTCGGCCTCGAGGCGGTCGGCGTAGTCGTCGAAGGTGGGGTTGTAGGAGTAGCCGCCCGAGGGCTTGACGACGGCGGGGAGCGGCTTGCCGGAGGCCGTGAGGGAGATGGGCTTGTGCTTGAGCGTCTTGGGGGGCTTGGCCTTGACGACGGGGGGCACGAAGTTGTCGTCGCCTGCGGTGGCGGGCTCGGCGGCGGGTGCCGGGGCGGCGGCGCCCCAGAGATCGTAGGTGGCGTCTTGGACGGTGATGGAGGACTCGTGCTGGCCGTCGGCGACCTTGCGGAGGCGGGCGAGCTCCTTGTGGGAGACCCAGTCGGTGGTGCGTTGGCGCTTGGCGGGGAGGAGGCCGTCGGAGGTTTTTGAGGGAGAAGAGGAGCGCTTCTTGCGGCCGGAGACTGCGGGGACGGAGGAGCGGGCGGCGATAATTTCGTCGGACTTGAGCGTCTTTTTCGTCTTGGGTTTGGGGAGGGCCTTGCCGACCGTGTCGAGGGCGAAGAGGTCTGCCGAGTCCTTCTCTGCGACGACGCCGCTGTGGTATGGATTAGCGACTGCTGCTGGGCTGTAATTGTGAGACAGAAAGGAGTAAATAGCTCACCCGGTAATGATTTGCTTGTTCAACTCATCGAGACCGTCCTGGACGTCGGTCACGTCGACGTTCTTCCTCCACGCTTTCTTTCCCTTCCTCGAGGGCTGCTTGCGTTGCTGCGGCGCCTCGCCGTCGCCCGAGAGGGGCTTGAGAACGGGCATCTTGGAGGCTTATTCAACTAGACTTGCGATGTTTCGTGGTTTCGTTGGATATCTCTCGTTGATTGAGTTGGTGTCGTGAAAAATCGTCGGCCAGCGCACCCTGCAGCTAGAACAAACGTCTGCTTCGCCTTCAATCTGGACCGCAGGGACTTTCTCTTCACCGGCGGGGCCTAGATCCCAGCATCCCAGCGACCAGAAATTTTTCGTTATCGATATGGAGGTTGCATTATCGGATTATCAGCACGTGATTGGACTAGTACGACGGGGACCCGCTTCTTATCGGTCCCTCAATGGATGACGGGGACCCTGCTAAGCTGCAATGCGCCGCCCAGAACGAGAAAGTTGACCTCCTTTTACCGTCGAGTTGCTCAATTCCCAGCTTTGCGACCAACTCTGCGAGTTCCTCCCATCTCCGAAAGGCCTCCCTGGACTCCTTATTCCCCCAGTGTCCCTCCTTTCCCCCCTCTTCCTCTCTCTCTCCCTTGCATCCAAACTCAACTCCTCCCCGGCGAACCTATCCGTTAGTGTCGACCGTGTTCCCTCCACCGATACTACGTCGAGCTTCCCTTTGATCATCGCGTATACTTGGCAACCATGGCGTCCGGCGCAGGCGGGTCTTACAACAACCCACTCAAGAAGTTCAAGTACGATGCGCCGAATATGACGGGTCAATTTGAGAATATCAATGCTGACGGTTAGGACAACAGGCTTGTCTTCTTGGGCGAGCAGAGTGGTACGTTTTGGCCCTGGAACAGCCTACCCAGCTCTTTCTTTGATGCATGGCAGCCCTCGCTAACACCGTCTTTGTTGCAGTTGGCAAAACCTCACTAATCACCCGGTTCATGTACGACTCCTTCGACAACATGTACCAAGCGACCATTGGCATCGACTTCCTTTCCAAGGCAAGATTCCCCACGACATCAGGGTGTGTGGAGGGGGCGTTATTAACTCGAACTGCAGACCATGTACCTTGAGGACCGGACGGTGAGGTTACAGCTCTGGGATACCGCCGGCCAAGAACGATTCCGCAGTCTGATTCCCTCGTACATTCGCGATTCCAGCGTGGCGGTTGTGGTCTACGACATTTCAAGTATGTGATGAGTGAAGTCAGGGAGTGTCGCGATCTGGGGAACCGACGGCTAACGACTAACGACTGCAGATGCGAAATCCTTCCAGAACACCAAGAAGTGGATCGACGATGTGCGCGCCGAGCGAGGAAACGACGTCATCATTGTGCTCGTGGGCAACAAGACGGATTTGAACGACAAGAGAGAGGTCACGACGCAGCAGGGAGAGGAGGAGGCCAAGAAGAACAACCTCATGTTCGTGGAGACTAGCGCGAAGCTGGGCCACAACGTCAAGACGCTGTTCAAGAGAATAGCGCAGGCGTTGCCCGGCATGGAGGGCACAGATGCTGCTCAGCAGGCTTCAAGCCAAAGTGAGTGTTTTTCTTCAAATCTATCCCCTACGAGCCTCTTACTAACACTCATGGCCAGTGATTGATGTGAAGACGACCCCTGCCGCATCCTCGCAAGAGGGATGCGCGTGCTAGATGATGTTCTTATTCGAAAAGAAAGCAAACGAGACTGGAGTAGCCCCCAAAAAGATGAAAAGACGAGCGACCCGTGGCGGACCGGACGACGCGGGGCTGAATTGCCGTTACATTACGACACGACTGGCGGGGCGGGACATCTTAAGCATAGCGTGCAATGAGGATTTTCAGCATCAGTTACAGTTTGTATAATAACGGGCTATAATCCACGGTCGTTAGTACATACCTACATTTAATGGCTCCTTTTATTCCTCTTCACCGTTCGTTTGGGCCTTTGCAAATTGAGCAACACCTATGTGTATATGTTGTACAGTTAGCAGCTTAGCTAGCATGATATGCCGGACTAGCTCAGTGCATGACCTGCAAACACTCCTAAACGAAATAAGCTTGGAGATTCACGCACGTGTGGTTCACCGCCCGAAATGACACGAGACTACCTAATCTACCTAGGCTCTGGCAATACTCGGACTCCGTAGGACCGCTGTGGACTGTCACCGAGTGCCAGGGTCCGTCAAGGCCCAATCGACTGGTCGAGAGCGATCCGGTGTCCATCGCTGGTGGGGTCGTGGAAATCGGTTTGCACTCGCCCGCTGCGCTGCGCGGCGGCCGGCGGGTTGCTGCTCAAATCCGCGTACAGAAAGCGAACGGCGCTCGGACACACGCCCCGGGGAGTGCCATCATGACGGAGCAGGTGGGGCCCCATCATGTCATCGAAGGGGGAACGCAGGTGCAGGGTCTTTCCACCCTTTTTTTTCTTGGACCACCATGTCATCCGGCGCAGCCGCTTTGGTTAAATGTGACGAGCCTTTTGCAACGCTTTTCGCAAAGCTTCCCAAACATTACCAGAGCTCCTGGACCCCTTCTTCTGACGCAACCCTTCTTTTCCCCTTCCGCCTCCGGCTTTCCCCTCCTTCAACAAACCACCTTACCTACGCGATTATCGATTTCACGAGGAACAAAAAAAAAATCAAAAACGAAATGGCGCTTTCAAGATTCAGGTTGCGGGTTCCGCGCCCAAAGGTTCGTCACATCATCGCTAAGCGCCGGCGTGCATCTGCCATCGCGACCTACGATTACTGACGCAAAAGTCACGCGACACAGACGTTCCTGGGCTGCATCAGCCTGCAAACCGGCACCGAGATCATCTCGCTGATCCTGCTCTTCAACCGCCTCACCGGCCTGTATGGCCTCCTCGCGATACTCACCGGCTACGAGATCTCCGCGACGCAGCTGTCGATGTACCTTTACTCGCTGGGCGTCGTCGTCTGCCTGGCCATGTTCCTGCCTCACATCCGCAGGAACAGCCCCTTTGAGGCGCTCGGGCTCGCGTGGCTGTACATCATCGACACGATCCTCAACATCGCGTACACGACCTTCTTCGCCGTCGGCTGGTACCTCCACAGCACCGCCCTTGACAAGCACCCGGGCAGCGCGGGCGTGCCGGCCGCCGCGGAGATCGCGGAGGAGGCGCTGGCGAACGGCGCGCCTGTCGTTCCGGACGTGCCCAAGACGACGAAGCACATCGGACCGCAGGAGTCGTGGATGAGCCTGGGGCTGATTATCACCGTGACGCTGATGAGGGTCTACTTTGCGGTCGTCGTCATGTCGTTTGCGCAGAGCGTGCTGCAGCGGTTCACTGAGATGGGCTGGGAAGAGGAGGGACGCAAGAAAGGCCCCGACGGACCGTTCACCCCCGGCGAGCCCGACGGTGAAGGCTACCGTGGTCGCATCGGCAGAGTGATGCTTGCCCTGGGACGCAGCTACTGGCTTGACGAGAAGGCGCAGGAGGAGTGGGCGAGTGCGATGAGCTCCAAGTTTAGGCACGCAGGTGCTTAAGCTTAAATTTTCCGAAGCATATTAAGCGGAAGCGATTCCGAGATGGAAAAAGGTGGATTCGCGGATTTATGATTTGGCGGTGGGTGGGCAAGATCCCAGGTGGGTTCTGCTGGGTATCGGTGTCGGCGGGAACGGTGACGGCTTCGTCGGCGGCAACTATGTTGACGCAGACCCGCCCCGCCGGCTGGCGGTACGGCTATTGTGCGGCATTCCCAGCGGGCAGCGATGACGGAGGCGAAAAAAAAACGGCGGTCCACGATGGCGCCATCGCGGAGTGTCATCATTCGGCGAGATGGGGAATGTGTAATGTGGATGGTTGTGGATCACGGAGGATGACACCTTTTTTCTCTTCTCCTCCTTCGGGGTTTAGATTATGATTTGAACAAGAGTGGTCAAATGGCCATCGGCGTATGGACGATTGGGTAAGATGATTTCTCGGGCTGGCGATTGGGAGTGGGACTTCTGGGTCGATTGATGACTGGGTAGAGATGGCAACCAAAGCCCGATCACGGGAACAGCATACCAGATGGGATGGCCTATACACACGGCCTCGACATATACATAGTAATACACGTACGTTAATTCATCAGACTTGGTGGTGGGAAGGCGCATCGTAGTGCAGCATGGGGATTTGGTCAGGCTGCATTTGCCCATCTGCCTGGCGACCTGGGCCGGGACTGCTTGGAGAAAATCTGCTGCTAATCCAGGGCTCACCATTTGTAATCCGAAAGATTCCCCGGGGGGAGGAGGCATGGATGGGGGGACGCGAGACGGGGTTCCACGACGGGATATGGAGCGCTGCACTAGCACGGCCAGGTACCCTCTTATTGAGGCGTCGTGTGTTGGTTGTGACTCGCCTCCTTGCAGTGTAAGGGTGTGATCTTCTCCCCAGTACTAGCACTGGTACTGGAGAAAAGTGACTTTAGGGGGTATAAAAGTTCTGCCGCGCCTGACCGCCCTAGTACTGGCCTCTAGTACACGGAGAGGGTGACTTTCGACCCTCTCCGCGTACTAGGCTTTTTGTATGGGAAAACGTTAGTTTTTCTAGTACGCGTACTAGAAAGCCCGAGGTACCTCGAGATTTTTGCATAACTATGCCGCCGAGACTTTATGACAGGGGCCCCTTACCCGTACTAATAAACTAAGGCCTAGAAAGGCTAAGTACATCGAAGAGAGGTTTTTCCGGGCCTCCGGGATCCATCTGTACTAGAGAAAGCCCAGTACTGGTGCTAGTACTGGGGAGAAGATCACACCCTAAGACGCAACACAGAGGTAGTAGAGAGTCACAGTCTACTGCATAGTACTGCGTATAGAGCAAAGACGCAGCAGCGGCTGGAGTGAGGCGGCTGCTGCGAGGATGGGAGGGTGACCGACAACGGCGTTTTTCGGCATTCGGTCATTGGTTCCTAGTGTAAGTGTACTAGTCTAGAGACTTCAATACTTTTGTTTCCCCTGCCTGTAATCCAGGTCCCTCGCTTTTTGGAGAAGCACGGGAGGCTGCTCATCTTACGTCAAAGTATTAGTGAGTTCCCCGGCCATTGCGACCTTGTAGATGAGAAGGTTGGGGTAGAAGCTAGCGGTTCATGGTCGTGTCTGGTTGTGCGAATAGCAGTCTTGGAGATGTAGAATTGGTCATCATGTTCATCCCGAAGTCCAGCGTGAGGGACAGCGTGTGAAGAACAGGAGGCACATCTTCCCAGCTGGCAGCTGAAGAAAGTTGCCTTTGTAATCCATTCCCCGTCTTCCCCAAGGTACCAAATAGGCAAGCAATGCCGCACATGGTACCTGTTTGATAGTGTCAAGCGCTCCCCCGTTGTCCCAATGCATGGCCACCCGCCCACCCGGCCGGCGCCCCCATGGCCAGCCCATTGCACTCCCCAAAAATGGGAAAAGCGCACCCAAGCAACCCAAGCAATCCGCGGCGCCAGGTTTCGACAGTGCGGCAGGACAACCAGCGAATGGACTGGGGGAGACGCTGCGCTAGCCGATCACGCAATCGACCCTGATGTCGACAAAATTCATTGTTTTCTGCGGGGCAAATTTTGTCGGTGGGAACTGCGCGCCGCAAGACAGCCGGCAGCCAGCAACAGCTACCCTTCTCTTTTTCCCATTGAATTAAAACCAAAAGCAGCACGGTTTCGGAGCTGGTTCGCTGTTCCTCCCTTGCTCTTTTTTTCTTACATATCGTCACTTTTTCCTAAAGACCCTCCCATCTTGTTGGTTGTTGTTGTGGTTGTTGTTGCTGCAGCTGCTGTTCTTTCTTGGAGTTCGTCCTTCTCTTACACACAGCAAGACCGGCGAAGAGGAATCCAACGAACGAAGCAGAGGGAAACGCAAAGGGGCCAGAACGCAGCCTTCTTCCCTCGAACTCCTCCGAAATATCTCCCCATACCCATATACCCAGACAAACCAACGCAATGGCACCGACAAGAGGCCAGATTCAGACGCCTGGAGAGGCCGGTAAGTTTTGGTTCTGTTCCTGACACCCGCCTGGTTTTACTGGCTGCAGGCCGTCCTCCTTCAGCGCTCTGCCCACTGTAATTCCAGCGAGTCTACAGCGGGACCGGATTGCGACCAATCAGAGCTGTGCTATTTGTCGCAATCCTGCACCCAGCAGCCCGCCAGCAGTGGGCGGCCCTGGCAGAGCAGGACGGGCGGCGATGAAGATGGAAGTCGACGATGGTGAAGGATGAGAGACAGAAGCTGACACGATGTGCACCCAGTCGCGAGAATCGCCTACCTTTCCAGCGATGTCGTCGTCTCCGTCCAGCCTTCACTGGCTAAGGACTCCGAGTTCTCCTCCCACCTGAAGCGCTACGTCGCTCGCGGCGACAAGAGCCTCGTCGCAAAGAACACCGTCCCAGAGGTGAGCACCGCCAGGAGAAGAATAACGCGCTCTACGCCATTGAGTCTTTGGAAACTGACAATTGCTTCTCCCGTCGACAGGTCCAACACGTCAGGCACAACGCCGACCCCCTCCTCTCCGTCTTCACTCCCACCCGCGCCGGCAAGCTCGTCGCCGTCACGACATCCTCCACCGTCCTCCTCCCGGCCATCGCACACCTGTACAAGCTGGCCAACTACCCCGTCGTCCTCCACGTCGCCCTCCAGCCCGCCGGATTCCCCGACTTCTCCAGCATCACAGCCATCCGCAACTCGGGATGGACGTTCCTGCAGTCCGAGTCTCTGCAGGAGGCCCAGGACATGGCCCTGACGGCCCACGCTCTGGCGCTGCGCTCCGGCAAGGGCGTGATTCACTTCTTCGCCTCCGCCTCGAGCGACGAGGACGCCGCCATTGAGGCCGAAAACCCCGACTTCGTACGAGAGATCCTCGACGTTGATGCTGCCAGGCGGTTCCAGCAGACCAACGGCACGGAAGCGGCTATCGGCATCTACGCCGATGACGGCCGACTGCCGGTCGCCTCAGACCGTCCCGACGTGCCGCCGACCGGCTCCTCCACTCTGGGTGGTCTGAGCTCTTCCGAACTCGCTTCGTCCGTGCACTCCAAGCTGGCGGACTCGTCCCGCGCCTCGGTCCAGTCTTCCGCCGAGCACAGCGTCACCGAAAGCCCCCCGTCCGTCGTCTCCTCCAACGCCACCACCATTGAGTCGGCCCTGCCTGTCATCTCCTCCGAGGACATCCTCAAATACGCCGACGGCATCTGGGCCCAGATCCACCGCGCCACCGGCCGCGAGTACAAGGCCTTCTTCTACGCCGGCCCCTCCAACGCAGAGAACTGCCTGTTCGTCTTCGGCTCCGGCGCCTACTTCTTTGGCGATGTCATCGACCAGGCCCGCCGCGGCGGCGACTTCTCCAAGGTCGGCATCATCACCCCGAGACTGTACCGCCCGTGGCTGAGCTCCGCCCTCGTCGACACCCTGCCCAAGTCCGTCAAGCGCATCGCCGTCCTCGAGCAGATCCACCGCAAGACCACGAAATGGGGCCCCGTCCTCATTGACGTTCTCACCAGCGTGAAGAGCGGCTTCGGCGGCGTCCAGACCGTCGTCGGCTACCAGCTGGGCTACATCGACCCCAAGACCGTCATCCAGGCCCTGCGCGGCGTCCTGCAGAACCTGAACCTCGAGACCCCCGTCCAGAACCTCGAGGTCGGCCGCAAGGAGGTGCCCCAGGAGGCTCTCGAGTATGGCCTCGAGAAGCCCAAGGTCGAGACCTCGTACACCAAGATCCTCGACCAGCTGTTCGGCCAGCGCGCCTACGTCGCCAACGCGCTCAAGTCCAGCAACGCCGGCATCAACGCCTCCATCCAGGCCAGCCCCGAGTTCGGCTTCGGTTCTCTGCTGGCCCGCAAGGAGCGCCGCGGCCGCTTCGTTAACGAGGTCAAGGAGGCCGCCAGCAGCAACCAGTTCGTGACCGAGTCCCCCAAGAGCTGGCTCGCCCGCTGGGCCGCCAACGCCGACGATGCCAAGAAGGCCAGCGAAATCGCCGATGACCTGATCCCCCGCCTCGAGACCGACGGCTCCTCCATTGCGCGCAACCTGCTTTCCAGCAAGCGCCTCTTCCGCAAGGAGTCTCTGTGGCTCGTGGGCTCTGATGCCTGGGCTTACGATCTCGGCAACTCTGGTGTGCACCACGTCCTGGCCTCGGGCGAGAACGTCAACATGCTCATCATCGACTCGACCCCCTACTCGGAGCGTGCCGCTGCTGATGCCAACCGCCGCAAGAAGGACATTGGTCTGTATGCCATGAACTTTGGCAACGCCTACGTCGCCTCCACCGCCGTCTACGGTTCCTACACCCAGGTCCTGCAGGCCATGCTCGAGGCTGACCAGTACGACGGTCCCTCCGTCGTCCTGGCCTACCTCCCGTACAACGGAGAGGCTGACTCGCCCCTGACTGTCCTCCAGGAGACCAAGAAGGCCATCGACGTCGGCTACTGGCCCCTGTACCGCTGGAACCCCGCCAACGAGGCCAAGGGCGAACCCCTCTTCTCTCTCGACTCTGAGCGCATCAAGAGCGAGCTCAAGGCCTTCCTTGACCG